ATTTATCAGTAAAAACTACTTAGTAGCTGGGAATTCATCCATCATCGGATTCATCTGTCATAGATACTTTGATCAATTACTCAACTTGTAATTTATTTTTTCACCCATGTCATCATGCTGTCGACAAGTCTAGAAATACTGCACAATGTGGTGGCCATGTTAGCATCCGATGTACTTTATACGTAAACTGTCCATTCGATAAGGTGAAAATTGGAAGAATCCATACAGGAATGGTTGACAAAAACTGATTATCATCTATAACGTTGTCAAAAACATGCATCAACACATTTTCGAAATTCATCTTTGCAGATTTCATCGAAGTGTCAAAAAAAAATTGATTTACCAGCAAAAGATTTCGCAATCTATAGATTCAAACCCAGGCATTCGAAAAAAACCGACTCATAATACAACGTACCCAGTATATCATCAAGCATTCCAGAGAACTCACAAATACCGTTAAATTAATCTGTGAAATTATATAGTCTCTGCAATATCGACGATTATGAATGACAAGCTTTGGATATTATTCAGTTATAAACATAACCTCTATCAGAAAGGCAAAATGGCTAATGAAGGATTTTCAAGAGAAGGCTGCATTAGCCAGTGAAGAATGATGGGTGCATGGTGATTAAACTGAACAGTGAAAAATTAGAAACGGATTTTTTATCCGCCAGCTCACACCTTAGGATTTGGCTCGTGAGATGATTTTCTGGATTGTGCTGTCGGTTATTATACGGCAAAAGCTGATTAGATTGTGTCGGTATGTGACCGAGAAACACACAGGCTAACATATCAAATACACTTCTTAAGTAGTTCAGTTAAAAAAGGTTTTCCAAATTAGAATACTTCATTGTGTGTAGAGAACACCGTCATGAACGTTTATTGATAAATCGTGTTCAGAATGACGGAAAGACAATGTTATCGTCCACATATCTATAAGCGATTGAGGTCATTGTAGAATCATTTTTGAAAGTTTTGTTTTTTGGAAAATCCCTCCATGTTTACATATTTTTGTTATGACATGACGGACTTTTTCTGTTGACATTTTTGGTATTTTATTTGATTCCAATTCGAGATTTTATCATTGTATATTGTTATTATTTCTATATTTTGTACATATATTGAAGTTTTCATGTTTGCTTCTGAACTGTATATGTTGTTTAAATTTGATCTATAATATGACCACAGCCTTTTTTGGATTGATACGGTGGCGGTTGGACTTAACGTCACTTATTCCACTTTTGCCGTGGATACTCTTCGGAGTAATTGTGACCTGGAAAGTGCATCAACTCCAGGTATTGCTTTGTATTTCCATCTTTTAATTGATATAGACCGTTTTCTCCTAGGATTGTTGTGTTTTTATTATTACACCGGGAGATATGCGTTCAGATTGCACTTATTGGAAACCATTTGAACGGCTACGGTAAAAATCCATTTACAGTCATCATGCAACAATATTTGTTGACTGCATTTCAAAGTCGATTGGACCATTTGTATAAGGAAGAATTAATCGAACTTCTTCATAAGAATGATTTATTTCGAATGTTGAACAGACAACAAAATTAACAGAGGTAGAAATCCTTTCTATTTTTTTCCGCGATTTAGACCCAGGTTTGAATGTTGACATCGAGAACCTCAAGGACGAAAAAGCGACACAACGAATGAGCGCATAGCAATAGATCAAGAATGATTATTACTGATAAGACTAATGCAGGCATAAACAGTCACACTAGTAAGTCATTCAAACTTCAAAATCTTCTATCATTACGTAAAGAAAAAATCTGATCAAACTAAGCTGACATTGTGCAGTTGTAATTCAGCTGAACGTGATGATAAGTTGTTTGATATATGTGTTTGCGGTGCAAATTGATACATTTTGAATAAAGATTCAAATTCTATACCATATTAAGTGAGGCACTAAATGTATTAATGAAGTTTTTCGACACATCGGATGATGTTATCCGGACATGAGAGCTCCAACGCAAACTGACAGAAATGGAAATGTCTAAATTATCGAATCATCGAATGTGAGATTGACGACGTCCTCTTTTGCGTAAAATGCTCATTAACGTAGCAGCCAGTGACGAAATTCCAGTATAATCATCCTTTAAGAAATAACATGAGAAAACTGATATACAGTGTCGTAGAAAAACATTTTTCTGTATTAAAGGTTAGTATTAACCATATGAACTGTAATAAAATTTAATCGAGGATTACAAGCTCAAATGCTGAGATTTGTATTCATCAACGGAAATGAGATTCTGTCTTCGCCTAACATCGTTGAATACCACCGATTAACGGAGTGATTGTATTTCAATGTCGGACATCAAATATACAAGATTTCTTCACAAGACTAATCGTGTATTTATTGACAGTAAAAATGGCGCGATACCTCTCGCAGTACAGGCAACAAACCCTGTTGTCTGATGAGTCTGATTATGCGTGGAAATGTGCTCCATGATACTGCCTTTGAATGCACTAGCTCATTCTTTCATATTAGGCTTGTGTTATGACGTTGTGGATTGTGGTGTTGGTTATTCTAGTGCAGATGCTCATAAGATTGTGTCGGCAGGTGACCGACAAACACACAGGTAAATAAATCAGATACGAATCTAGCGTAGACTAGATGACAATATTTTTTCAAATGAGAATACTTCATTGTTTGTAGAGAAAAGCATCACGTACGTTAATCGATAAATCATGTGCAGATAGACATAAAGACATTGCTATCATCCATATATCTACAAACAATTGAGGTCATCATACAACAATGTTTGTTTACTACATGCCAAGGTCGATTGGAACAATAAACTTTTAAGAAGGAAAATATCTTTCTTCATTGTCTGTAGAGAAAAGCATCACGTACGTTAATCGATAAATCATGTGCAGATAGACATAAAGACATTGCTATCATCCATATATCTACAAACAATTGAGGTCATCATACAACAATGTTTGTTTACTACATTCCAAGGTCGATTGAAACAATAAACTTTTAAGAAGGAAAATATCTTTCTTCATTGTCTGTAGAGAAAAGCATCACGTACGTTTATTGATAAATCATGTGCAGATAGACATAAAAACATTGCTTGCATCCATATATCTATAAACAATTGAGGTCTTCATACAGTTTTATTTGACGAATACTTCCTATTAGCTACCTATTAGAATGAATATAAATATTATATCACGATGTTGTTTTTCTAGGCATTGATGTCACCCACAGAATAAACGACGCATTGTCTATTTATCCAATTTTTTTTTTGATCAGTTTCTTTCAAAATGTTTTAAATATCCTAGAGATTTATTGAGATCCCGAAGAGATCAAGTAATTACCTGTAATAACAAAATTAAGGCATTCAGCAGCGAGCATCCACAACTGAATTTCTGCGGGTTAACACTTAAGGCCATTGCATTTATTCAGTGGACACCCATTAGTTACGTGAGACAAGGCAGTGTCTCATGTCTGAATATTCTCTATCCGTATACCTGACCTTCAAATCTTTATTATCCAATTAAGTTCTGAAGGTTGCCACTAAAGTGCTTACAATTTACGATCATTTTCAATTGCTGTCACAACTAATAATAACCACCACCACAACATTTGTTTATTTCGTTCTTAATAGATGTGATGGACAATGAACAATGAACCTAAACAATTTTCGTCAGCCAAATTCCAATCCAGATTGTGGAGAAATTTTTCAGCTCACGTCGATGATTGATTTGGAGTTTCGTTCTTTGAGCTGCACCTGTTGGTTGAAAAGCTTTGATTGTTTATCTGGCAAACGTTGTAAGCACAAACATCAGAGAGAATAATATTATTTGATCAACACGTTTTCAGTTGAATCACCTTCATACCACTTCATATTTGCAGAATACACAAATTAAATCAATCTTTGAATTGTATGTTGTGCTGATTTATGTAGTATGAGGCGGAGGGTCAGACACAGGTTATTACTGTAATGGAATATTTAGTATTTGAATGTATGCGTTATTTAGAAGGATTCGAATACTAAAAGATAGATGCAAGAAGATAATCAATAGTCTATTAGTCTTTCAAATGAAAAATTGAAAATTATCTGTTCACACTTTTCATACCTTGTGTGTGTCTTCTGCAAATAAATCCTTTTTAGATTTTAACGTCTTCTGTCATGAGAAAACTACCCTTGATTTCACATTACTTGACAAATACTTCCTAATTGCTACCTATAAGAATGAATATAGAAAAATTATATCAGGTTGTTAATTTTCTAAGTATCGATGTCACTTACAGAATAAACGACGCACTCTATTTATCCAAAGTTTTATTTGTTGATCATTTTCATCAAACGGTTTTTTAGTATCTTAGAGTTTTATTGAGATCGCGAACGGATCAAGGAATTACCTGCAATAACAAAAGTGAAGGCATTCAGCAGTGAGCATCCACAACTAAATTTCTGAGGACATTCTTGCATCTGAAGCTAGAAACCGTATTCAGAAAAGTTCAACACTGCCAAGTGTATGCGTTTGCTTAACAAAGAGAACTAATGATATCTAGCCATACTGTGGATTGATTGAAGTTGTATATTGACACCGTTGAATACCAACACAGTAATTTAATCGAAATGCTTAGATTCGATTCTTGCAAGAAACACAATAGGTGTACGCCCATTACGGATGATTTATTTTTCAGAAAAAAAAGCCAGTGCACTCCATACAAGTTTCAAATGGCAATCTAACAATGATCGATTCACGGTTTCAATTCGTTATAATTATCTTCATTTTAATGATATTTATACAAATCTAATTTATTTAAGACTAAATTGAGGTTTCACTGTTACTTATCACCTTAGAAGGTCATAATCAATTCACAAACCAGCATGATATTATTGCGTTGAAGTAAACTGAAAGAATAAAATCTCATTTATCGATGGTGTTAGATTCTTTAAGCATTTTATCGAGAAATATTTGCTTATAAAGCTCTAAATATTTGGTTTTTCTTTGTTCTAAGACAAGGAATCATGTACTCTTATAATCTACAAGGAAAACGAATTAGTTTGAAAGAGGCCGCCGATTTACAACAATCAAAACTGGATAATTATTTTCGAAATCGAGTATTTTCAAGCAAATCAACCAACGTCAACTCACATAAATATGCTCATACTCAAATGAATTCACCATGGGATTATGAGTTACAACGTTTTCTAATTCAAGGTGGACGTCAATTGACAATTTCGAAGAAAATGTTAAATAAACCAAAACGTTTAGTTCAAAGTGCTGGATCACGTTTGTTACAGGAATATGAAATAAAGGAAGCAGATGATGATGATGAACGTAAATCCAATATTTCTGATAATGTTCATCGGTATGTTGATAACGATGAATTCTTGAACATTGAATTCAATGCAGAAGATGATTTCACAGATCAATGTATTGATCATATAAATATGCGGAATCCACCTGATATAATAAATGACATGTTTCAGAAATTCGCAATGAATAATAAGGACACTGATAATAAACAAACTGATGCTGAACATCATTTCAATCCGATGGGGGAGAAAAATATGGATGATAGTCGCTCTTCTCCATCCTCTTTTTCTTCGTTTACTTCATCTCGTACCAGTTTAATTCATTCGGATTTGCATGCCAAAATGTTGACATCATCATCGTCAACAACATCACTTTCTTCATCTTTGTCTTCTGATTCCTCTCATTTATCTAATGAAAACCTTGATGTAACTGATGTTTCAAGTAAAATCAGAATAAATTCACTGAAAAGAATCCAGGCAAGTTATTTTGTGCTCAGTTTTGTCTTTCTTCAGTATTGGGATGATATGATAACTTTACTCACGTTTCGATTACGGAGTCACAATAATTAGTGCTGTTCTTGTACAGATTCCCGACAATTGTGCAGTCACAGCTGAGAGAGAAAAGGGATGAGCTCTCCTGTGGTCGAAATTCTCTCATATTGCCACGCAAATGAAGTCAGGATAACTGCATACGATATTAGCACATTTAGATGCTTATGTACGAACAGGTGTTAAGTCTAGTTATTGAGCACCTGAGAGTGTGAGAAATCTTCGTTTTTCAATCTTTATTATTGGTGCAGATGGTCAGCAATATATCGAAGAAACAAACATCCAGCTAGACCGTACCCTTATGTTTTCGTCAAAAGATTTGATAAAAGTCAAGAACCTTAGTTGATTATTTGTAATAAGCTGATGCGTGATAATACGTATCAATTTTATTTATTACTGATACATAATATAAACTGATAACTACAACACTTATTTCACTCTTATTAACAGCCACAAAACTGTTTGTAATACGACACTTGTGGATAAAGAACAAACCATCAGAATAGATATTAAAAGGGTGGTTAAACCAACTGGATTTTCGTTTAGCTGTAAACAGACTCATTGCTTAACCTGAAAATTACCAACACATTATTGCTTTGAAGTGTCTACAACCTTTTCGTAACAAGCATGTTCGAACACGGAGAGCTTACATACATCTCTGTTTTGATAGAGGGATGCTTGGCTTGAAGCTTCTCTCAACAATACCTGACCCATACATTTGTTTATCGCCCTGGCGATGGATGATTTTATACCGCTGTGCGTTGCGTAGGATTTCACTGTGTCTACACACATCGACTGTGGCGCCTGAAAACACAATTTCTAGCATCAATTGATCATTGCAGTTTCTCAGATATTTCATAAGGTTACAGACTATAAGTCCGAATATCTTGGATCTACTTTAATTACGTTCTGAGCATATTACGTTTAAATATTATCCAGTAGTATTAGAAAGAAAAAGTTAGGGAATTACATTCCATTCTCTGTTTTTGTAACTGATAGCAACGGTCTTCGTAATACTATGATTCAAAGTATTCAAAAAACTTTTATCCTAATAGTGCATTGCTTATTCTGTGTTACGTTTTAGCCTACACAAGCATTTAAGCGAATTATCATCGCTGGTTTACTATTACGTGCAACATTAAATCTTATTAGGTAAGTTTACAGGTTCGATCAATGAATGCAAAATAAAAGTGTGAGTAGGGTTCACATAATTTATTGATTATGCCATCCGAGTCAACACCTATTTATCCATAGTTGCGTCATTTTTGAAGTACACTCAAAATGTCATGATCATCAGTGTATGACATTCTTTGATAGAGTTTGCTAATCAGTCGGTATCAATTAGACAGTGATGACGATCAGAATTCCTAAAATAAACTAGTCTGTTAGTTGGTGACATATAGCTTGAAAATGAAATCTATGATCAAATAAGATTGACTAGAAACTGTAGTTCAGAGATGATGCCTTTCGTGAAGTCAGCAAGTAGAAGTTTAATTCGAGCCTTAGACTTAACATTCATAGCAACAAAATTATATCCAACGCCCCTTGTTTGGAGGACAGTAAGGTCACAAAATGTGAGGAAATGCATTGTTCCTCTACCTGAGTGTGTATTTACGACGTAAACTGTTCCTGAGAAGCTGATTATATTTGATACATCAATCGACAAATGTATCTAGGTATTTTGAAACATCTTCCGTTTTGGTTGACATCGAGTAAAAAGCGTCACATCGATCTGATGATTACTTTTGACGTTGGTTTCGGTCATATACATATAATACATATTATTTCTAAATATATACAATTGAGTGAGCATATGTAAGGCATTGATAGTCTCTCTTATTGATTATGTTAGATTTTAGAAGACACGAAAACAAGACGTTCATCTCCGCAAGTTATAAATATAATTATCCTAATACCTGATAAAAATACATTATAATTACTGAGTTTAACTCTAAATAAACACTTCATTACTAGGATTCATTGATCGATTACATTAATAATAAACAGCTTTATCTTAAAGCAAAGAGGAAATTTATAATTCATTGTACACAATGTTTTTTTTCGTAAGGCCATTACAAGAATTGAAAAATGCCAAACTACGTGGTAAAAATGTACAAACATTTGTTGAATTACAAAAGGATATTGAAGCAAAATTTCATTCTGAAAATTTAGGTTTTGATAAATATGCTTATAAGGTGAGTGAGACGTTTGAATTTGTACCTATTTTGTTTATTAATCAAACAAAATTTGTTAACTAATAGTTTCTTCATTCCAGCTCATTGAATTCTTGCAAAATGCTAGAGTAGCCTAAGTATATCCAGTAATCAACTTTACGAATTTACACTAAGTAGTCATAATCAGTGTGGTTCTTCGGATTATATGTGATTTGTTTATTCTACACATTTGAAATCATTAATCAATCATCATTGTTAGACCACCATTAGAAACCTGGAAGCACTGGACGGCCGTTTCGTCCTAGTATGGGACTCCTCAGCAGTGCGCATCCACGACTCCTGCTCCTCGCAGGATTCGAACCCGGGACCTTTGGCATTGTAGGCGAACGCCTTACCATCGGACCACTGGGCCGGCATCCAACGGTGTTAATGTCTAACTCTGACTGATCTAGGGATTTTGCGCGACCTCACCCATTTGTCTTTGGTAGTTACTGCCTACACCCGACAGGGTTGAACTCCACTGGTCACGTCTTCTCAACTAGAACTCCGAGAATTTCCTCACGAAGCTAGTCACTAGTGAGCACTGTTACATTATATTAGGGCACAGTTTTGGAGGTTTGCGTTTTTACACATTTGAAATCATTAATCAATCATCATTGTTAGACCACCATTAGAAACCTGGAAGCACTGGACGGCCGTTTCGTCCTAGTATGGGACTCCTCAGCAGTGCGCATCCACGACTCCTGCTCCTCGCAGGATTCGAACCCGGGACCTTTGGCATTGTAGGCGAACGCCTTACCATCGGACCACTGGGCCGGCATCCAACGGTGTTAATGTCTAACTCTGACTGATCTAGGGATTTTGCGCGACCTCACCCATTTGTCTTTGGTAGTTACTGCCTACACCCGACAGGGTTGAACTCCACTGGTCACGTCTTCTCAACTAGAACTCCGAGAATTTCCTCACGAAGCTAGTCACTAGTGAGCACTGTTACATTATATTAGGGCACAGTTTTGGAGGTTTGCGTTTTTACACATTTGAAATCATTAATCAATCATCATTGTTAGACCACCATTAGAAACCTGGAAGCACTGGACGGCCGTTTCGTCCTAGTATGGGACTCCTCAGCAGTGCGCATCCACGACTCCTGCTCCTCGCAGGATTCGAACCCGGGACCTTTGGCATTGTAGGCGAACGCCTTACCATCGGACCACTGGGCCGGCATCCAACGGTGTTAATGTCTAACTCTGACTGATCTAGGGATTTTGCGCGACCTCACCCATTTGTCTTTGGTAGTTACTGCCTACACCCGACAGGGTTGAACTCCACTGGTCACGTCTTCTCAACTAGAACTCCGAGAATTTCCTCACGAAGCTAGTCACTAGTGAGCACTGTTACATTATATTAGGGCACAGTTTTGGAGGTTTGCGTTTTTACACATTTGAAATCATTAATCAATCATCATTGTTAGACCACCATTAGAAACCTGGAAGCACTGGACGGCCGTTTCGTCCTAGTATGGGACTCCTCAGCAGTGCGCATCCACGACTCCTGCTCCTCGCAGGATTCGAACCCGGGACCTTTGGCATTGTAGGCGAACGCCTTACCATCGGACCACTGGGCCGGCATCCAACGGTGTTAATGTCTAACTCTGACTGATCTAGGGATTTTGCGCGACCTCACCCATTTGTCTTTGGTAGTTACTGCCTACACCCGACAGGGTTGAACTCCACTGGTCACGTCTTCTCAACTAGAACTCCGAGAATTTCCTCACGAAGCTAGTCACTAGTGAGCACTGTTACATTATATTAGGGCACAGTTTTGGAGGTTTGCGTTTTTACACATTTGAAATCATTAATCAATCATCATTGTTAGACCACCATTAGAAACCTGGAAGCACTGGACGGCCGTTTCGTCCTAGTATGGGACTCCTCAGCAGTGCGCATCCACGACTCCTGCTCCTCGCAGGATTCGAACCCGGGACCTTTGGCATTGTAGGCGAACGCCTTACCATCGGACCACTGGGCCGGCATCCAACGGTGTTAATGTCTAACTCTGACTGATCTAGGGATTTTGCGCGACCTCACCCATTTGTCTTTGGTAGTTACTGCCTACACCCGACAGGGTTGAACTCCACTGGTCACGTCTTCTCAACTAGAACTCCGAGAATTTCCTCACGAAGCTAGTCACTAGTGAGCACTGTTACATTATATTAGGGCACAGTTTTGGAGGTTTGCGTTTTTACACATTTGAAATCATTAATCAATCATCATTGTTAGACCACCATTAGAAACCTGGAAGCACTGGACGGCCGTTTCGTCCTAGTATGGGACTCCTCAGCAGTGCGCATCCACGACTCCTGCTCCTCGCAGGATTCGAACCCGGGACCTTTGGCATTGTAGGCGAACGCCTTACCATCGGACCACTGGGCCGGCATCCAACGGTGTTAATGTCTAACTCTGACTGATCTAGGGATTTTGCGCGACCTCACCCATTTGTCTTTGGTAGTTACTGCCTACACCCGACAGGGTTGAACTCCACTGGTCACGTCTTCTCAACTAGAACTCCGAGAATTTCCTCACGAAGCTAGTCACTAGTGAGCACTGTTACATTATATTAGGGCACAGTTTTGGAGGTTTGCGTTTTTACACATTTGAAATCATTAATCAATCATCATTGTTAGACCACCATTAGAAACCTGGA